CATCCATCCATCCATCCATCCATCCATCCATCCATCCATCCATCCATTCCAAGTCTCTAAATTGATATCAGTAAAGCTTAAGGGAGCAGCAAGAAGTATTAGGCTTGGTAATCAAACCTAACACAAGAATCTTCAAAAGCTGTACAGCTTCCATCATAAAAGAGATTGAATAACTCCTGTTGCCATTCCTGAGTTTTAAAACCTTTCTATTAGTCTAATAAAAATGCGGCACCTTATCACAAGTTATTAAGATTCACCTCCTTTTTTTTTTTTTTTTCAAGCTGTAAACATATAAAACTGTCAGAAATGAAACTAATGTTCTACAAAGGATTTCAAGAAAAATATGCTGTCAGATTTTCTTCAGAAGCTTATGGACAAAACTTGTAAATATTCTTGGTCAGACCCTGCTTCTCACTTTGTTCAGTGAATGAAGAGCCTTTGCATGGAGGAAAGATCAACATCTTCACTTGGCCCAGAGGGTAACTTTTAGAAGATATTTGAAGTGTTGAGGGGGAAGGAAAAGAATATATAAAATACTTAGTATTAAGAAGACAGTTACTGTTGTAATCTACAAAGACAGCCTGAATGATCTGAAGCAAAATTGTCATTTTTTGGGTATGCTGCATAAACCCATTCATGGCATATAATTCCAGTATATATAAATCCCGTGAATATCAGAATCATAGAACCATAGAATCATAGAATCATAGAACCATAGAATCATAGAATGGCCTAGGTTGAAAAGGACCATAATGATCAGTTAGTTTCAACACCCCCTGTTATATGCAGGGTCGCCAACCAGCAGACCAGGCTGCCCAGAGCCACATCCAGCCTGGCCTTGAATGCCTCCAGGGATGGGGCATCCACAGCCTCCTTGGGCAACCTGTTCCAGTGCATCACCACCCTCTGTGAGAAAAACTTCCCCCTGATATCTAACCTAAACCTCCCCTGTCATAGTTTTAAATTGTCCAATCACTATCTACCAACATAAGTCCCCCTCCTACTTACTTCAATACTGGAGTATGAAGCTGTATGTATGTGTAGTACATATGTATAAGTACTGGGATATGAAGCTATATGTATATTTTATATATATTATCATTACATTACATATGGCAGACAGCTTGGATGAAGGACAAACTCCTAGCATTGGAGCACGACAACTATCTAATGCCACTGAGACACAGCCTCACCTCCCGAAAAAGCCAACACAGGACAGACTTCAGTTTTAAAATTACACAATGGTTGACAGTGGTTGCTGCACTGAACACTTTTTATGTGTTTCCAGAGGCTTTACCACAATACTAAGTGACATTTGTTTAAAACATTACTGCTGAACATTAGCCATGGAGCATTAAATGGGTGAACACATGGGTAACAGATCTCTGAATGTACTTAGTGGACTGGTAATGGTAGCTGTTGGCTGGGATCTGAAAGATTGCTGTAGGGCCTTGTGTGCTTCTGGGGGTTCCTCAGGAAGTAAATCTGAAGGTAAATATAGACAAATTGCCAATATAATTTGAACATACCTTAATTAGTAGGCTGAGAAAAGGATGACCAAGCAGAGTGGAGTAGATTGTTCTCTGGTGTGTTCCTTGTCACAACAAGATGTTCTCTAATACCAGCAAGTGCAAAATTTCATTTCTGAGATTGAAACTAGCCTTATCTGCAGAATGGAGACTATGTCCCAAGAAGGACTGAGGGGCCTTGAGAAGGGGTAAGGAAGAATGCTTCCTCAGTGCAGTGCTGTGGTAAGACTAGCTAGAGCAATTCCTAGGTGTGCTGCAAGGCACGCTTCAGGATATGCCTGCTGGAGTTCAGTATTAAAAAAGTACTTTTAAAAGTATGTTGGAAAAGTGGTGAAGGCAAAAACAAGAGCTGAAAGGAATTTCTTTAGGGTGAGAGACTTTGAAAGCTCGGCCTATTTAGCTTATCAAAAGGATGATGAAGAGATGAGTTACTTGCATTATGTAAGTATTCTCATGGGAACAAAGTAGAAGTGCAAGAGGCTTTTTAATCTGGGGGAGAACAGCATAACAAGCTTCATACAGACTCATTTTAGAAGGACCATTTTTGGTGATGAAAATGATTAGTCTGGTGAATAAACTACCAAAGAATCGGTGGATTTTCTGTCCTATGAGTTTTCAAATTAAGCAAAGATGCTTTTTGTAAAGCATATTTAACCAAACATAAATTATTGAAACAGTGAAATGTGTAATGACATGAAAAATCTATAAGTTAACTGGAAAATTTTATGTTGTAATCTGGTTTTATACTCCATGATTCTTTGAGCATTGTGAATACAGCCTTTCAGTTGCAGCATCATTAGGTAATAACTAATATAAGAATCATAACAAAATGTACCTTCAGATAAGCCATCCTCTGCTGTTGGCAAGCAAACTTCTCTCCTGGAAACCAAGTTCATGCTTGAAAGCACTTCTTGCAGCACAAACACTGGAATTAGGTGTCATAAAAAGTCTTAATGATACAGATCTTTATGATACAATCTTTTTGATATAGGTGTTCTGGTTAGGTGTAACTTTTTTTAAAAAAAGTAGTAATCTTCATTTTTAACTCTAGGTGGAAAAAAAAGCTGAATACACAAAGCAGTTCACCACTGTCACGAGTCAACTGATGATAGGATCAAAAATGACTGAAGATAACAGGTGCACAAAGAGGCAGATCAGTCACGTGGGCTCCATTTCTGAAGGGAACCAAAGGCCTTCAGTGGTGCTGAGGGAAGAAGCTGAGCATTTGGAAGGGAGGAGCTGCTAAAGAGAGCAGCTGTGATCACTTAGGAAAGCACAGCTGCCTGTTAAAGAACGTACACCAGTGGGTTATACAGTGTCGAATACTCCTTTTTCTGTGTTGATAAAAATCTGTGAGAGCTCAATCAAATGTCAATGGCTTACCTGTCAAAGTTAGACACTTTGATAGGTCTCTTTAGTTCCCACTTTAGTTCTCTTTGTTGGGATGCTTCCCCCACTGCTGACTTCATACAGTGTCTGGGGCTCCTTCCTGATCTTCCCCTTCAGTCGGTCCCTGCCTGGTTCTGCATCTGCCATCGATGCAGCTTTTTGCAACGATTTGTGATAGGAGAGGAGAAAAAGGGTTTTTATTTTCACACATTCTTGGCAAGGAGCTTGTCCGTGCCATGTTGAAGTTAAACTATTTCTAAAGACAAAAAGCCTCCAGGTTGTTCCTATGCTACCTGGATCACAGTTTTGCTTTTCCAGACGTAGTTGATGTCTATTGAGCTGGGGGGGAGAGCAAAGAAAAAGCAGTCAGTCCAAATTGTCTCGTGAGGAAGGCAATGGAGCAGGACTAAGGAAACTCAGCAGTCATCCAAGTGCATGAATTCTTGTAAAACCATTATGAGCAGCCTGAATGGATCCCTTGAGTGAATGGCCATTTTGTCCCTTGCAGTTCTCCTTCTCCAGCATAGGACTCAATGTGCAGCCTGTGGACAGACAGATTCCACAATAAATAGAGAGGGAGAGTAAAACTAAACCCTCTGGAGCCAGGCCAGAAGCAATGTCAAATCTCTTGACTTATTTCCCAAGGAATTCTTGGTCTAAATGTCAGGAGAACACAGCCCCACAGTCAAATCTGGACCAGGCCGATACCAGGGCGTGACAAAATGAATGACCTAAGTAACAAGATTACACTGAAGGAAAACTGAAACTTCAGAAATGTGTAAAGATCATATTTCAGTAAGTGGTGTTTTATGTAAGATCCTTTTAGTAGGCAAAGATTAGCCCAAACTTATAAGCTGGTGAATTGTGGGTGGTTCATTAGTGACAACAGAATGAAACTCTCAGCCAGGCAGTACAGAAAGTCAGAGCATTTCTGCAAGCGCCAATCATTTCTGAAAGGCTTGCAGCCTGCTTTCAAGGTCTCTTGTTGACAGCAGCCAAGGAAGGTCAAAGGAATTCGGTCTCCCAGGAGTCCGTGCCACCACAAAAACAGAAGCCAAATCCCTCCATCACTTTGGGTACTTATGAAAATTCTTCTGGGGGTTCTCCTAAGACTGGCTGTGGTTACCTTTCACTGTGGTTACCTGCTGCCCACTGTCGTTGCAGGTTTGGTATAAAACTGAGTAGACTCTGGTCTCCCACTGTAGCCAAAGGAGTCTTGGGTTGCACAACCCATCTGAACACTCAGAGAAGGTGGGGGAAGAGAACATGGCCAGTAAATCTCATTAATTTTGAAAACTGAAAGCCTGAAGAGGTGTTGACAGAAAAGAGGGCAAGCTGAAAAGCTTAATAGTGGCAGCTTAGAGACAGCAGCCCTCATCCTCTGGGTACAAGTGGAAAAAGACTATGGTCACTGAGAAAACACACAGTGCTTCTAAATTATGTCATCTGGTTTTGTTTCAGTATTTGTTTTCTCTGTCTCAGCCCTAGCTGACCAGACCACAAGGCAGATCTGACAGCATTGCTCCACGGCTTTCCATGCAACTCACTGTAGAGTGGTGGGACTCTTCCCACTGCAGTTCAACAAGGTGACAGAATCCAGTCCTGGGAGATTTTCTGCCTCTCTCCCTTGCATTATGTTAGCTGGAATTAGCTGTTAGTACATTCCTATCCAACTTTGGCAGAGTGCCCTCTCCTCCATAACAGATTAAACTGAAACCCCAGACCCAGCACGCTTCAGCTGCCTGGGAAGTCCTTGTGCAGAAGGTGGATGTGCCTTACGTGTTGCAGCATCTTCTTGCCATGGCTTACTATCCTAGGGAGATCTTTAATTCATGATGCCCTAAAAACAACTGTAGGAAGTTGGCTGTGCTGTTCAGTGAAGGAGAAGCAGAGGCATGGTGAGATTGTGTTGCATATTCACCCCCTCAGACAGGCATGGAGCATTAACACCACTTTTACATTTTTCATATATGCTCTTTTATAAGGTATTTCCTTAACTGTGTCAACAGCAGCAGGAGGAACATCTCATCCTTGAGTAGAAGTCCAAAATAAGTTAAGTCAGGTTTTATAACAGAGAATTTATGTGGTCCCAAATCCCAAGAATGACCAATTCACCCCCAAACTGGTTTTGCTTTCCTCTATGCTTCAGTGCCACCTCAAACGATGGCTTTATTGCCTCCTGTGCTCTCAGTGGAGAAGTCTGTCTGTTAAATCAGGGCTGGCACAGCACGATTTGCTCCAGGTTTGTGCCCAAAGCATTGCCTTTGTCTGTTTCTGTGGCTGCAGCCTGATGACCAGAAGCTCTGTTGCAATGAGAATGGCAACAGTGACAGAAGGTGTTCGTGTTCCCACTTCACCACGTGGCACTGATCTGCTCCACAGACCACAAAGAGCAGATATGTGCTATCTGCAAGGAAAGGAAAAGCAATTATTTGTTTTACTAAGAGAGTGTTGTTTGTGAACAACCAAATGGGAGCTGAATCTGCAAGGTGCCAATGAACACATGTGTTGCCAGGGCAAACTGTGAAAGCAGCCTCTGTCCTGATTTGAGACAGCCAGCTCCAAAACTGGGGAGAAAATGGAGATCTCTGTGTGCACCTTTTGAAGTAACAGAGAAAATGATGTATTGGGGAGAAGCAGCTGTGGTGCAAAAGGCTGAAATAATCACGGAATCACAGAATGGCTTGAGCTGGAGGAAACCTCAAAGCCAGCCCAGATGCCAGCACCTGCCATGGGCAGAGTTGCCACCTATCAGATCAGGCTGCCTTTATCAAATGCAGGTGAGAAAAGACCTCCCATTCATACAAGGGAATCCACATGTGTGTGAAACAGAGCACTGAAGGTGGCTTCTTGTACAGTAATGTCTGGGAGAGGGGGGAAGAGACAGTAGGGGTGGAAAAGAGAACACACAGAGTAATTTCCTGACTGATGTCCTTATACTGTGGGGAGCTCCTCCCACAGCCCTTCTGTCAAAACTTAGTCTGTGAGTATATGAATTGTAAGTGGGCTTTTGTGCCTGTCAGTCATTGTTACGATTTGGAGTCTCTGGAATCACAGTAATGGGCTGTGAAGTACAAAGGCTGAGAGACTGAATGCAGCCAGTGAAGGAGTGGGGTTGTGTGCTGGTGATTCCCTCTCTTCCTGACTGAGATCAAGACATAAGCAGATGAAGCAAAGATTGAAAACAAGAATGCCAAGCATCCAGCCAGCTGTTTTTCTTCTGTCTTAACATTAGGATATCTTTTGGTATCCATATGACTATGTTTTAAAGAAGGGAAGAGCAGGCAAACATGAGAGGAACATCTGCAACTGTACTTTATGATCACTTTGTTACGAACCATGAACTCCAATTAGTACACAATTAACACACAGGCATTACTCCTTTATTGCCTTGCATGCAAATTTGTTTACAGCATCCTGAATTGATAGTACTATACATTACACTTCCTCTTTACTGGTGTGAAGTACTACCTACAAAATCCCAACAGAAGCTACAGAAGATTTTCCATGATTTTCCATGGTTTCTGTGCCCTAAGTGGTTCTCCATCTCTTGTACTCTTTCCTAAGGCTCAGAAGGATCACCAGCACAGCGTGCACAGAACAGGCTGCCTGATGGCCACAATACATTTTGGCTGTTTCTACTGCCACATGAGTTTGTGGTAGGTTCTCTGTGCACGTTTCAGACTGGTTTTAACATTTGAACAACATATCCTTTAAAACATTTTCCATATAGCATTTTCCACATAAGTTATGCACTGATTGTTTTACTGCATCCAAGGGTCAAAACCATCTGGAAAAAAAAAATAAAGAAAAAAAAAAAAGAATTTTGTAGATATTTTGTTCCATATTCATGACTGCCTTCTACAAGTGTCAGTTTCTACACACTCTCTAACAAAATAATCCTGCCTGGAACTTTGGTTACTTTGTTTCAGTCTTACTGCCTAAAGGGCTGTTTTTTCATCAGATTTTTGTGCTGTAGATTCATTGGGTTTCTCTCAAGGTGAGAAGCGCACCTGGGTCCTGGCAAGTTCCACTGTCATTTGCAAGCTGGGGGATGTAACGATGGTGCATAAAGGGCTGCCAAAAGGGCTTGGGGGTACTGATGCATGAGCCAGCAGTGTGCCCTTGCAGCCCAGAAAGCCAACACTATCCTGGGCTGCCACAAAAGAAGCATGGCCAACAGGGTGAGGAAGGTGATCCTGCCCCTCTGCTCTATGCTGATGAGACTGCATCCAGATGTGGGGTTCAAGAGAGACACAGACCTATTGGAGTGCACCCAGAGGAAAGCCACAAAAATGATGCAAGGGATGGAACATCTCTTCTACAAGAACAGACTGAGAGCATTGGGGCTGTTCAGCCTGGAGGAGAGAAGGCTCCGGGGAGATTTGAGAGCAGGCTTTCAGTATCTAAAGGGTGGCAATAAGGAGGAAGAGGACAGGACTTTTAGCAGAGTCTGCTGTGGTAGGACAATGGGAAATGGTTTCAAACTAGAAGGGAGATTTAGATTGGATATAAAGAAGAACTGTTTTACAATGAGTATGGTGAGGCACTGGAACAGGTTGCCCAGAGGTGGTGAAAGTCCTGTCCTTGGAGACACTCAAGGTCAGGCTGGATGGGTCTCTGAGCAGCCTGACTGAGCTGCAGATGTCCTTGTTCATTGCAGGGTAATTGGATGAGATGACCTTTAAGGGTCCCTTCCAACTCAAATGATTCTATAGGAAAAATACTAAATCCATAGAACCCAATGGGGCAGCATCACAGCATAGTTTCATCAGTTCTCTACAGTGGCCTCCATTAATTTCCCACAGTAGGCAAAACTTTGCTGAACGTTGCAAAGGGGAGCAAGCTGAACACCACGTTATGCAACATATAGTGTTGCTGGTGAGGTTACCTGGTGAGGTACCAGTAGGTACCAGAGACGGACGAAGTTCTCTGCCTGCAGAGTGCCTTACATTCTATTTCTGTGAGCCCAGCGTGCAGCTGGAAGAAGCAGAGCGCTCTTTGAGCTTTTCCCCATGCCGCGCAGCCCCCACCTCGGGATCTCGGCGGGTTCCCTTCGGCCCCGGCTCCCTCATTTCGCCAGCGGCCACGAACCCCCCGCACCAATCTGCATATTCACATGATCGCAAATGACCCGCGGCTCCGGCGGCAGCGTCTCAAGCGCCCTCCGCCCTCCCGCAGCAGCAGGTAGGGGCCCGCCGCTCGGCAGCCGCCCGCTCGGGAGCCGCGCCCCCCCTCCCCCCCGCGCCCCGCGCCCACCCGGGGAGCTCCGCTGCTCCGCGCCCGCGCTGCCGCGGCTCCGCGCTGCCGGACAGGCATGAGCGACCGGGCGGCCGCCCCGCGCCGCGGGTGAGTGCGCTCCGCAGAGGGAGGGAGAGAAAGAGTGAGGGGTGGCCCAGCTCGGGGGAGAAGGTGACCCCCGGGGAGCGGGGGGCTCGGGGTGCGGTGGCTCGCAGGGCTAGCCCGGCAACACGAAGGCGATACATTTCTGTCGCCCGTGGGTGCGCTAAGTGGGAACGGAGGGCTGCAGAGCGTCTCCGTTCCGCGCCCGAAAAGTTTCATTCTCCGCTTGCGGTCTTAGAGTGGAGAGAGGTGCGTGTGCGGAGCTCCGGTCCCGCAGAAAGTGGCTTCCCTGCCCCCTCCTCCCACCTGCCGCGGGTACCCTTGTCAGCCGCTCGCTCACATCATAACGGAAAATGAGACGGTGTGCCAAAGGGTGCCCAGCGTCCGTCTGAGATGCCGGCGCGTATAGCTGCCGCGCTCGCACAGCTGCCGTGCCGTGCCGGGCTGTGCCCCTGCCCTCAGTGGCATCAGCCGGGAGGAGAGAATGCTAAAAGTGCCTTTGGGATTTGTTAGGAAGCCTTTGTTATTATTTATATTGTTGCGGCTTCAGAGCCGTAACAGTCTCTGCAGCTCTGGACAGTGTGTGAGCCCAGAATAAGGCTGCCCCATACCCCGGACTCTTTAGACCGTGACGGCAACTTGAGCTGCAGCACCCACCCCGTGTCCCATCAAACTCCGTGTGCTGTGTGATTCTAGACCAGAGAGCTCCAAGTGTGGCCATTGGAAATGAATGTGTGACTGTAACCTGAAAGTGCCGCTCTGTTTTTCTGTTATATTTTTCATTTGTGGAAGGCAACTGCGAGCAGCAGCTACTCCAAAAATTGCTTTGCAACTCTGATGGCAAATCTTAGAAGTCTCTTATCAGCTTCAGATTTGGCAGCCATCTCTCTTTCCCATCTCAGGCCTTGAAGTTAATTGTGTACATGATGGGACAGTGGGCAGTGGAGACAATATTGATTTCTAAGTTGCTGAGAGCCTTTGAATTTAAGTGAGATCCTGGACTCCAAGGGAAAAAAAAAAAAAGTGATATTAAGCTTGTATTAACCTTTTCTATGTGAGTGGTTGGGAGGGAGCTAAATTTTCTTTCATTTTTGCTGTGGGGAATAAAGTTGTGCAGCTTGAAATAAAACTTCTGCTGTGACAGCTGGATGTTTCATTGGGTGTTAATATCATAGAGAAGCAGACTGCTTCAGAGAAAAAAAAAAACAGCATTAAAATAGGTGAAATAGGTGCTTAGGTCATTAACTATCAAAGTATGACTGGCAGTAGAGTTCTACCATTTGGGATGGTTTTTTGTTTTTTTTTCTTTTCCATGCAGTATGCTATTTAGGATAAGTATAAACTTCATTTATGTTGATGAACAAACTTTTGTGCTTGAGTTACATACAAAAATCCATGTAGAACTTTCGCATTTTGAGGGCTGTAAATGACATTGGCTGAATGGATGGCATCTGATCTCAATTGGTGCAGCAGAATAAGGTCTGATCTCCATGATGGGTGCCCGGCTGGGCACACCTGCAGTTCTCTGTGTACAGAAAGTGATGATCAGGCACATTGGGACAAAGTCACGAGTCCCCATATCCCTCCCTCCCATGTTCCAAATACATCTGGTGCCCTCCTTGTGTCCTCAGCAGTAGTAAAATTTGTGGAAGTTATAGAATCATAGAATCATTTAAGTTGGAAAAGACTGCTAAGATCATCTAGTCCAAACATCAAGTCTGGAATATAACATCTAGGCTTTATTTTGTACCTCGCCAAAGTAGGTGTAAGCTAGAGCTTGGGAAAACCAGTGTTGCATCCCAATGAAGATAGGTGTGAAGAGATGAGTGCTGCTTCCAGTAATGCTCATCCAGTGAGCACCAGGTTTATTTTCACGGGTTCAGAATATGACTGATCTCTACATGATCTGTTCACCTGGGACATGTTCTGGGACACTGAGCTCTTCTCAGTACAGATATTGCTCCTGTGACCTACTCACATCACTGAACTGAATTGTTGGTGTGGATCTAGCAAGGAGGGTAAGGACAGCTGTGGTTTCATTACCACAAGAGGAGGTGAATTTGGAGCCATTTTGAACAAATAGTTGGATCTTGATAGCTGGTCATTAATTGCCTGTTAATATAAGATCTTACAAAAACTATTTCAGTTTGTCTTAACACAAAATCAGATTTGGGGATTGACTCTTCTCACTTTTGACATACTGGTTTTTATTCTCTTTGAGTGAAACAAGCCCTGCTCAAAGTTGAGTCTGCCAGATCACTTCACAACTGTTTTACAACAACCACTTGCAGGATGTAATGTAATTCTTGTTTTCATCTGAGAGTCCAAAGAACTGAGATAGAGTGCAAATGGCCTATCCAAAATACACAAAGAATTAGCATAAGAAATGAGACAGAGAAACAAATTATTTGCTCGAGTCACAGAGTTAAAATGCTATTCTCTAACTCTCACCAGCTATTAAGAAATTCATGGTCCATTCCTCTTGCTGTAACTTGAAACGACTAGACATGCATTTTATGCTTCTTTCTGATGTAAGTGGTATTAAATATGCATTGTGGCTTGGTTACCTTAGATAACTGAACATAAATTCATCCATCTTCCACTTGAAATTCTGTTCCCAAAGCAGCTGTATTCTTTCTTTTGTTTTCTGTTCTGGTTTTGTTGTTGTTGTTTTGTTTTGTTGGTTTGTTTGTTTGTTTTTGGAGGGGCTTGAGGTTTTATTTGCTTTTGTTTTTAAAGAAGAATCTTGTTAGCATTCCTTAGAAACTAATTAAAATGCTTCCCTTTTGGCTCATTCTCCTAATTTATTAATACCACAAATAACTTTTCTTTGGTGACCCACTTTCATAGGTATTTGAGCATCTAGCAAGATTGTAACTCATCACGAAGGGTGTGCAGACTAATAAATAGCATTTCCAGACAGTGGAAAATCCAAGACACTTCTTTCTTTGCCACACACACTTGTACACACCAAATGTGCAGAAAATGTTGTTCTGTTCTACTACTTGTTCTGCACACTTAGCCTAACAGAAAAGACTTTATTGACTGCATGGTTGATGTAAAAGTCAGAATTTAGGACTGCATCCATTCTCCTGGCTGGATTCAATCTTATCCAGAAAGGAGAAACTGCACTTTGTATAAATACAAATTGAAATATTTGTTTGTGTGAGTGTTCAGAAAAATAAACTTCTTCTTACAGACCCCAAGGCAACCTTCCATCACTATGCTATTGTAAAAATGAATTAGGTTTTGACTGCAGTATGGGCTTATGCTTGTTTGACTATGACTTGGGCTTGATTAGCTTGGAGAAGAGAAGGCTTTGGGGAGACCTCCTTGCAGTTTTCAGTACGTGAAGGGAGCTTACAAGCAGGAGGGGAACCAACTTTTTTTTCCTGATAGTAATAGGAAACAGGGTAACTGCTTTAAACTAAATTTAGACAATTTAGGTTAGATATCAGGAAAAAATCATTACTTAGAGGGTAGTGAGACACCGGCACAGCAGCCCAGAGAAGCTGTGGTGCCCCATCCCTGGAGGCACTCAAGCTTGGATGGGGCCCTGGGCAGCTGAGCTGCTGGGTGGCAGCCCTGCCCATGGCACAGGGTGGGACTGGGTGGGTTTCAAGGTCTCTTCCAACCCAAGACATTCTGTGATTCTGTAATATTGCTTTTTACTGAACTATTGCACCTACCTTGTGAAAAGTTCACATTTGATCAGTGAAAGAGGATATCCACCAATTTAATGGGCATGATGGTTAACAGGCCATTGAAAGTGGTAGGGCTCCTAGTTAGGCAGAGGTCACCTAGGATAGAAGAATGCATTTATTTTCATGCTTACATAAGAAAAAATAAAGGGTCTGTTTTGCATGAACCAAAGGTACAGGAACAGACTTATCACAGGGGATGACTGATTGCTCCACATCCTGCAGACTGTTGAACTCCAGCAATGTTTTAAGGACAGCGCATGTGTTCAGTGTTGTTCCCTTCTAAGGGTACTCTGCTTTGAGCCTCCCCTCCAAGCTTTCCAAATATCAACCCTCTTACAGGAGAGAATTAGGCTTATTTGGTGATTTCTGATGAAGATTTGTTTTCCTTTTCAGTAAGTGTGGACGACTGTGCAAGTGTGAGAGCATCATGGTAGCATTCAAAGGAGTCTGGACTCAGCCCTTCTGGAAAGCCGTTTCAGCAGAATTTCTGGCTATGTTGATTTTTGTCCTCCTCAGCCTCGGCTCTACAATCAACTGGGGTGGATCAGAGAAGCCACTGCCCGTAGACATGGTCCTTATCTCTCTCTGCTTTGGACTCAGCATTGCAACCATGGTGCAGTGCTTTGGACACATCAGCGGTGGCCACATCAACCCTGCGGTGACCGTGGCCATGGTCTGCACGAGAAAGATCAGCCTCGCCAAGTCGGTCTTCTACATTCTTGCCCAGTGCCTGGGAGCCATCGTGGGAGCTGGCATCCTCTACCTCATCACACCACCGAGTGTGGTGGGAGGCCTGGGAGTCACTGCGGTAATCACTTCTGCTCCAGCGCGTGCAGTAGAGTAACTCAGAGCCTAAGAACATAGAAGCAGTGTCACAAAGAATAAAGAGAGCTCGAGTAGAGATTTTAGGAGCTTGCTGGTTTATTTACAGCATCCAGAAAGGGTTTAAAGCTCTCCCCAGGATGGCTTTATGCAACACTATATCTAAGCTATTCTTTTTATAGAAGTACACTTTTCTAGAACTTCCCTAAATCTGATGACAGCAGGTAATGTTAATTTACATGCAGAATTTAAATAATATATGCATGAAATGCCATTTTCTTATGGACTGGGGAGGGGAAATTAATTCTCTGCCGTTATGATGAGGATTGAAAAAACATCAATTTAAAATGACATACTTTTGAAATAGATTGTGACTGAGATTTCAGCTTTGTTCTAAACTAATAAGAAATGCCATCAGTTAGCCCTGTTGCAGGACTTATTAAAAATGCACTTGAGCTGTGCACTGCTTAAATTTTAATTGAAATTTAAATTAATTAAGTCAGGGCTAATTAATGAATTTATAATTGAATAGTAAATTACAGCACTCCCAAGGAAAAAAAAAAAAGAAAAAAAAAACAGTGAAGGGGAAGTGCAGCCTTTGCAAATCCCTGTGTAAAAATAAAGGATACTTCTGCAGTCTAACTTTGAAGTTCCCATTGGGTGTTACTGGCAAGCCGTCTGTTGTCAGTCCAGCAGTAATTTTCCATGGCTCTCAAATTAAAACAAAAAAAAGAAAGGGAAGGGGAGGAGAGGGTTGGGAATGTGTGCCTCTAAGAGTTCGTTGTTGTCTTTCACTACGTACCATTCACTGAAGTGTAATTAATGTAGGCGGTGTCTTTCTGATTTACAAAATCACCTTTGCTTCATCTCCTGTGTTCCCTTCCTCCAGGTACATGGGGATCTTTCCGCTGGCCATGGACT